CTGAATTTTTGGCCTATGTACCTTGATTCTGCTTATTACTTTTTAGAATTTCATCACAGTAAAAAGGAGATCAAGTCTGGAACTTTTCAAAGACGAATAGAATACAATTATACCCATCTTTTCATTCTTCAAGAAGACTTGAAATTGAAGTGCTTAGCAGAGAAAGAACACAATAAAAGCCTAATGTAGTGCATAATGTGACATTGAAAATAACTTTAATCTAGATCCCAGGCAGCAAAAGAGCCTACCTTTCATCCTTGACATTATATCTGCCACTCTTTTCTGACACTCTGCACATCGAATATCTGCAGATAGAACAATCTCCTGAACCTGCTCCCAACACAAGGCAAATGCATTTCTCGAATTCAAGACACTTTTACTCAACAATCAACAGAATAGGATAAACAGAAGGAGGAAGAGAAAGAATACAAACAAGAGGCATGGATAGGGATTCGACAGAGGCCAGACTAGCTCCAGAAAGAACAATGTTATCTGAGTTTCCAATTTCAATCCCGGGAAGCTCCTCCTCAGCCCGAACAGACAAAGTTGTGACTTCACTACGCATTCTCCAAACTACAAGGCCCTTCATGGGAGAAGATCCAAGAACAGCTGCTATTGTAGTGAAAGATGAAAGCTCATCTTTGAGATGCTCTAGTTGTTAGAGAAAAAGGGGAATGAAGATAGAGAATCTTAAGATCGCAAAGTAAAGCCAATGAAAGGTCTTTATGCTTAGTTGAAAAAGATGCTTCGTGGGCCACAGCTGTAGTCCCCACCACTGTCTCTGCAATTTGCATTTTTTTTTCAATAATCCCGTCTTCAGGTTGCTTATAAGAGCAGACTCCGCTTATTTCCTACTTCTAGTTCAATTAATCTATCACGTCATGGTGAGATTAGGTAGATGACAGCAAATAGACAACATAGCGCTTCAGAGATTCAAGTTCAGCAACCCAGAAAGGTACACCCATCCATACAGGTCCTTGAGACTATCAGTGTCTGTCTCACTTCTAGATTATGCATCACCTACTTGTGGTTGCTTTGCGAATGCATGTGGGAAATCTCAATGTCCAGAAAACTCGTGCTAATTCGAAGTACCCAGTACGGAAATCTTCGAGTTTCTGCGTGGATGCCAAAGGGATGCCTGCTGGTTGATGTGTACTACACTACTACAATGTTAGGGTGAGGAAATGACAAAGCGATTAGGCTATTAAATTACAGTATCAACAATAGAACCTATTGGGCCCATCCAAATTTGGATCATCCTCTGAAAGTGGGAACCACTTGAATTATTGGTGTCAGTGCAGCAACTTTCTACAGTCAGTTGCTGGAGCGGTGAGAGAGAGTACAGAACAACAGCATAAAAGACATAAGAATGAACATCTTGTACAACTCAAAGTTTGGAAGTTGAGACCAATTCGTTAAACTAAAGATTAAAACATTGAAAGAAATGAAATTAAATTTTTATTGCAGAATAAAAATAATACAAATTAGATGAACCAGAAATTCTTCAACTAACAAGCTAGGTAAGGCTAGGCCTCCATGTTATTCTATTCCATTCAAAATTGCTGACTGAAATTCGACTACCACGGCCTAGAGGAGCAGCGCCGAGTAGATGCACTATATACATACATGGCTCTGGTAAGAGGCAGAAACTAATACCAACATATGCCAACAACTAGACTTTCCCCAAGGGTTAAAGTTGAATCACCTAGACATGACCAAGCTTGCTAGAGATGGAGAATTGAATGGTGAGTCATCTACACATTTGCAGTTCTCATGGTCAACTTTTGAGGGAGCAGGAAACAAGCATCTCTCGAAGGCAAGAGATTCCATAACTTTCGTTAGAACACTTCTCTTCCTATATGACTTCCATCTCAACTGGGAAAGTAAATCATCTTTTGACAGATCTAGAATCTGCAGAGAATTTGTTGGCCCCTCATTTCTGGATTCCAAATTAGCATTATTGTATCCAGGGTCATCTTTCAATATCTGTCTGCTGTCATAAATTGCAGTTTGGACAGAGTTGCAAGCATGTGATTGGTCCACATCTTGCGTTTTATTCAGGTGAGTGAGGATGGTGGTTACAAGATCTGGCCTCTCCTTAATCAAAGTCCATCCATTGCCCACCCATTCCTGAGAATGTCTGAGGTCACCATTGCCAAAGACTGCTTCCTGATTTTCTCCTGTGCATAATATGAAAGTTAGGGTTGGAATAAAACAAGAAAATATTCCAAGACTTAAAATGACATGAGAAAAACGTTTTCAAACCTGGAAAATAAACATGAACTTTATCTTCAGAATCCTTCATAACTACAATGCCTTCCCACCATCCATCATGCCACCAAACATCCACAACAGTTCCAACATCAACAGTTGATGAATCCATGACCTGGTTCAGCAATGGTGAAGGTCGAATAGTTGTCCTTCCACCAACCCTGATACCCAACTGATCAGGATCAGCAGCCCTTGAAGTCAAAATCCATTCCTACAGCACCAAGAGAAGGTTAATGAGTGAAAATGTCCAACAACAAAACCAAGAGTTCCATTTGTTTTGATTAAGAAAACAAAAATAAATACCTCCAACTTATTGGCTTCATCAGCTGCATTCTGAACATCTTGATATTGAACCTTCACCTTATTTTTGTGTTTCTTAATTATTAAAGCTCTAAACCAACACCCTCTAATGCCACTATCCTGAGAAAGTACTTCAACTTGAGAACCTACTTTCAAATATTGTGAAGAAATCTGCTTTGCATC